CTCTTCCTTCAAGGAACAGCCACCAAGGTAGCCACCCAAGCAATCAGTGAGCTTTCTCTCAGGTCCTTTATACATTTCACAAGGAGGGACCCATTCCTAAATGGGGCAACTGAGGTCTCCTCTCCAGTCATATTTCCCTCCCCAGGGTAGAGCTTCCTTCCCTACTCTCAAGGGAAAAAGAATTCTAATAAAAGCTGATACAGAAACATGACTCCCTCCTCCGTGCTACTCATGCTCCAAGCTGTCTCTCCAATAGCATGGAGAGACTGTAGCAACAGAATCAGTCAATCAACAAACATTAAATACTTCCTATACACCAGGTACTACGTCAAGTGCTGGAGGTACAAAGAAAGGCAAAGGGAGAAAGGTCCCTGCCCTCAAGGAGCCCATATTCAAATGAGGGAGACAACATTCACAATCTCCTTCTGCCTGGTTCTCTAATGCAACCAAATGTACAAGTTGGTAGGACTCCTGACTCGATTAGGAGATTGGCCTCAGTCTTGGAGGAAAGGGGATGCTGGGGTGGAGTGTAGGGAGGGGAAGGAGGCAGGGAGTCACTGTTCCACATGGGTCTAGGATCAGTGCTTCGGCTGGGACTGGGATAAGGGTTTGTCTTTGAAATAACAGAGACAGGCGGTACACTCATCATCATTCTAACCAAGGGTTGGAAGAGAACTCAAGGAAAAAACCTAACCTACACCTTATCTACTGGAAGTATCACCCTCACAGCACAACATTCTTGACCATCCATTGCTATAACATCTGAAGGTTACAGGGGACCTATACCTGAAGTGCCAGCACGTGGTTTTGCATGAGAGCTAGAAGGGTCCTTGGAGAACATCATGCTAACAAACCTCATTTTACAGATAAGCAAACAGGGAAAGGACTAGCTCTCAAACAACTGCAAGTTGGTTTCAGAGCCAAGACTGGTTCCAAGTTAAGGATTCTTTCTACTACCATTTGGTAAGAACCATGTGTTAAGGGTGCTGAGGGTTTTTAGTTAAGACCAATGAATAAAATCAATTCCTTGACTTCTAAAGAGGTTCTCCCCTGTATCAACAGACTCTTTCTCTCCATGAGAACAAGGGATCTTATCTTATCTATACTTCAGGCCTCCTCTGGGCTCCAAACACAATGGATACTTCATAGATTTATGTGGAATTGAATTGAACTGGAATTGAATTCAATCTGTGATCTATCTTGCAACCTCACTCCATTCCTTGTACCTATGTCACAAATGGAAAGACTGATTCACTCATGGTGACTCAGTCCTCCTCATTCAAGTTACCCTAACACTATGAAGCTAGGGACCTTGGTTTTCGTCCCAGTGCTCTGCTGTGTGACTCAGAGACCAGAGCCTCTCTGAGCCTCAGTTTCTCCACAGAGGGAGATAGGTGCTGTCAGAATCTTCTACCGTTGGCATCCTGGGATGCACTTTGTACAATCAGACAAAAATCAATATGCTAATGTAAAGAAGTTGGCTGCCTAAGTCATGGGATCTTAAAAGGGAAAGGAAAAGCAATTCTGCCTAAAAACCACCTATCAAGCAAAGTCTGAAATATCACCAAGTTTCACTTCTTTGAGTTTTATTAGACTTACAGGTCTTGGAGGGCCTTAGAAGATAGAATGCATGTCAGAGCTAGAAGGAACTTTAGAACATAGACTATTAGAATTGGGAGGAATCTTAGAGTACAATGTTAAAGCAACAAGAGACCTTAGAAGTGGCATGGTAGAATAGTTAATGTAAGAGTTAGACAGGACCTCTCATTGAATAATTGGGGGATAGAAAGTAGAGAGAGAGAAGTGACTTACTCAAGGTCACACAGGGAGTTTATAGAAGAGCCAGGATTAGAACTCAGGTCTCCTGATCCCTAGTCCAAGCATCTTTCCACATTGCCACATTGCCAGATATAAATAATGAAATTACAGTGAATGCTACAGTTTTCTGAATTGAGGTGACAAGAAAGAAGAGGCAGCCCTAAATTATAGTATAGGAAGGCAGTCAGGGAAGGCTTCATAGAAGAGTTGAGCTGAGCCTTGAAGGGAAGGAAGTCTGGGGCAGTGTGACTCAAGAAATCTCTGTTCTGGTTCAAATCTTGCCACTAATCTGATTAATCAATTTGGGCAAGTGACTTTTCCAATCTCCATACGCAAAATGAGAGTACTGATCCTGAAGGTCCCTTTCAGTTCTCACATTCTAAGCACCAGCCCTGTCACCTTGGGTAGACCCGGAAGAGGGGGGCATCTCATGAGGGGCATATCTTGAGGAATGTATATACACCCTGTAAGGTCAAGTCAGGGCACATCTCAGTGCTAGTACCCAGCTTGCCAAAAGGCTGCTGGCAAAACTGCCTGGAAAATGCCTCTATGAAAGAAAGATGGACCACTGTGACCAGTCTCTGTCTCTGTCTCTCTCTGAGTTTCTCTCTGTCTCTCAGTCTCTCTCTGTCACTGTCTCTCTGTGTCTCTCTTGATCTCTCTCCCATCTTTCTCTCTAGGTCTCTCTCTCAAGTTCTCTTTGTCTCTGTCTCTCTGTCTCTGTCTTTGTCTCTCTTAGACAAGGCTCTTTTAAGGAACAAAGAGCACATGACAAGAGGAAGCCCAGAGGGTTTGGAGAAATTACCTGGCCCAGCCTCCTGCCTCTAGGTCAATCACCATAAAAGTCATAGAATCATAGATTTAGATTTGGAAGAGACCTCAAAGGTCCAACCTCATATTTTAAAAATGAGGAAATTGAGCCTTTAGGAGAATAACCGACTTGTCCCAAGTCATACAGATATGTAAGTGTTAAATGATAGATTTGAACCCAAGTCCTCTGCAAATCCTCTTTTCCACTGTACAATTCCTTTATTTTCCAGTGAAAGTGTCTCTCAGTCTCCACTTCCTTCATTTTTTCAGTCAAGAGGACTAGAGATTCATTTATGTAGCTAAAAAGCTTTATGTTTTAATCTCTCTCATTGAGTTTTCACAACTCCACCAAGTAAAAGTAATAGATGTTATCCCCACTTTTACAGATGAAGAAAGTAAGGCTCAGAGATGTCAAATGACTTGCCCAAAGTCATAGTGCTAAATAAGTATCCTGGGCAGGAGTCCAACCCAATCCTTCCTGACTTCAAGTCCAAATCACTACTCACAAAGCCACACTGCCTCTCCAGCACTTCTGAGGTCACACAGGTGGTATTACCCAGGTAGGTTATTGGTAGGGCCCTTAAATAATAATAAAATTCTGGAAGCTTAAGGTAGGAAGGGACCTAGGAGAAACCCACTCCTTTTACAGACTAAGGTCCAGAGAAGTCTCCAAGTGAGTCAGCTGAAGAGCTAACCTTAAGTGCAGGATGGAGTGGAAGTACAAAAATAGCAAGTTCTAGCCCCTGTCCTCAGGGAACTGACAATCTAGCAGAAGAGCCTGAACTTTGTTCCTAACAATATCAATAAACTTCCAGTTTGGGGTGCTGGTGAAGACTTTCATTTTTGTCTTTACATCTCCAGTGCCTAGCACTATTCCTGGTGAATAGTAGGAGCTTAATAAATCCTGGTTGACTGATACATGCTAAGCACTGTCTGAGTCTTATTGACTAGAAGGGCTAAAAAGAAGTTCAAAAAAGGGAGAGTGCCTATCTAAAATGGGTGATTTGGGGTTTCTGAAGTCCCAACCAGAGAGTCTCCAGTCTTCTTCCTCAACTTCTCCAGGACTGACCTCTTTCCCCTGCCTCAGAAAGTCAGGAAGTCCTTCTTTAGGTCTAGCCTAGGTCCTTTCTTCTCTTTCTCACATCTCATTGATTTATGGACCTTTTTTTTTTTCCTTTTTGACCCAGGGGGTTAACTGTCTGCCTTGGATGGATTTGGAGAAACTGAGAACCAGAGCAAGCAGCACTCCTTCCTGGTCCAATTTAATTTCCCTAGCATCCTAAGATTTAGAGGATTGGAAAGGACCTGAGAGGTCATGTTATCTAAGCCTCCTTCACTTTACATGTGTGGAAACTGAGGCAAATGACTTGCCCATGATCATAGAAATGGTAAGTAGCAGAGCCAATCCTTGAACACAGATTCTTTGACTCAACATTTCATGCCCTCTCCAATACTAGAGACAGTGGTCTCTTTTTCTCTTCTCCAACATAAACTCTCCTCTCCATTGATGTCTCCAGTACTTCCAAAACTCATTTCTCAATCTTACTTCTTGTATGTGCAGAATGCCCCTCTTTTGTGCTCTCTGCACCAGGCATGGTTCCTGCCCTCAAGGAAGGGGCCAGGGCTGTGGAGAGGGAAGAAGTCTGCATTTGCAGACAGAGGACTTGAGTCAAGTGTTAGCTCTGCTACTACCTACCTGTGTGTTATTGGGCAAGTCATTGAGCCTTATTTTCCTCATTTGTAAAATGGGGCTAATAATGGCTATTATTGTCTATCTCACATGCTGTTTTGAGAAAACTGTTTTGGAAACATTAACACACTAAATAAATGGAACTATTACCATTACTATATCTAACTTGTGTCTGTCTATCAAAGCCCAGGGCCCTGTCCCACTTCTTCCAGGAAGCCTTCCTTGATCAACCAAACCTACAGTGGGCTTTCCTTTTGCAAAATTCCTAGAGTATTTCCTTTATTTCTGTCCAGGACTTTCAGGCCATCCCTCTGCCTCTGAGCCTTGGAGTGGTCCTCCCAGTGAATCGTCTTTCCTCTACCCCATATTCTTTCTCTCTCTCTCTAACACACACACACACACACACACACACACACACACACACACACACACA